CATCATAGAGCGCACGCTTCCCATTCCTCTTCAGCTTTTCAAGAAGCCGCGTTGCGATGACTCTAGCTTGAGTAAAGTTATCCGTTGGGCGACGCTCATTTCGCCACAAGAGACCCACTTGGTACCCGCTGCCCTGGCGACATAGCGGGAACGATGGCAGGTGCTGATGTTGTTCTGGAGGTTCATCCAACTGCCATAGTTGTTCAATGTGGGCTGTGACACATGACACGGTCACCGGCTGACTGTTTCGACTTGGTGCAGACGCTGGACCAGATAATACATTACCTATCTCTGTGTTCCACACCGTCTCACCATTAACTTCCTTCTTGCTGTGCAGTACCGCGTTGATATAGTCTGCACCAATCAGCATATGTATTTCGTCTGATGTCCCTTGTTGAGGCTTGTCACTCAGCTCTACTCCCCAACTGTGCCACTGCGCAATGGTCTGCGGACTTGCGCACTTCAGGTCCAGCTCAAGCGTTGGTTTCACGAACGCGCGTACCCGAATGCTAGCGGAGCTACCCTGGATCGTGATGGCGTACTTATCCATGCGCTGTTGGGTTGGTTCCGCGCCGAACGGCTTCACCTCTACATTTTCAACCCCAACGTGTTCTGCATCGATTGCTGACACCAACGCTGCAGTCACGAATGACGCCTCAGCACCCGAGTCCAGGAACACTCGAACCTTCGCGTTTCGAGTTCTTCCCTCAACTCGTGCCACTCCGGTCATCAGCCGCACACTTGGCGAGTGTAGACAGCACGACCCAACATTCTTCTCCGTAACTATCTCAGTCGGTTTCTCCCGGCTGTAACCTGCTCTATCCAACACATCATGTATTAGCAGGTGGTGTTTCCTCTGGCATTTCGTGCATCTCGAGCCTGACCGACATTCTCTGGCCATATGGCCATACTTAAGGCAGTTCCAGCAGAGTCTCTCTCGCTGCAGAAAACCCTTTCTCTCTTCCTGTGGCAGCGACTTTAGCTGCTTCTCTGCATCTGCGACCGATATCGCCATGCACTGTGCCGACGCCGTGGGCCTTGGCACGGATCGTTCTACTGGCTTCCTGGCAGTATCACCCTGTCGTCCGTGCGCGACCTGGTAAGACGCACCGTGCTCCTGTACCTGGCGCAGTGACATCCCGTAGCACTGCCGTTCGACCAGGTACGTCTTCATCTCAGGTCCGCATTGCTCCAAGATTACCTGCTTTGCCATTGCTTGCAGCACCGGGGCCATTTTACCTATATCGGCGCTATACTTGGTGCCCACCTCGCCATCTTCTGTCATAGCGAGTGTGGCCCACACCTCTACCTCTCGGCAAACACGGACAACGTATTGATGAAACGACTCATCTGACCGCTGCTTGCCTGTCAGCAATGTCTTCCACGCTTTATCCGGAGTCTTTCCGAGCGAGGCAAGCAACTCTCGCTTTGCTTCCTCGTAATTGTTGCATCCAATACATATCCTCTCCGCTTTGCTACCCGCTAGCGCGATGCACAGTCGCAGCAGCCATTCGCTTTCTTCGAACTCGTTCTTGGAACAGATGTCCTCGAACAGGTCAAGATAACGCTCCAATGGCTGCGTTCCATCATATGAGGGGATTTTCATCACCGGTTGACGCCCACCGCTGTGACTGGGAGATTCCTCTGTACCTCCCATCGTGGCTTTACCCTCACCCTCCTGCGCATTGGCGATGCGCTCGTTAATCTCCTTTAGTGTTTTGGCAAACTCGGTGCGGAGCGCCTCCTCTCGCCGTCTGGCACTGCGCTCCTCACGCTCCGCGTACTGTTGGAGCCTCTGCTCCACATGTACCTTCAACAACTCGCCTTCTAATCCTAACCGCTCTCCATTGTCGATAAAGCTGGCTTCCAAATTGTTCCATAGTTCCTCTGCCATGCTCGCTCCTATCCTGGCGTGGTCGCCAAATGTTATGAACCCTCTAAGATTCTCTAAATTGTCAGGATCGTACGACCACACGGCACGAGGACGACTGTTTTCCTTTACACAGTATATTTCACTTCATCTGATAATTAACAATGAACACTAATAACACCAGCTATTTATAGCATGCAAAAACAGCGTACATGCAAAACATAAGCAGATAAAACTGGACATAACAGCGTATACAGCAAAATGCACACAACGCATATAGCGTATGCCATGCAGCAACATCAGCGGTACGGCGGAGTTGAAATACAACATTTCAACGAATACAATGCCATAAGCGCGAAGGCCTTTCCCAATTGAGAACTGGTGGTTTACAACAAGGTCCATATGTACACTGGACATGTAGCTAGTTACATTTGAAGTACATGTACATGTAGATGTAACTGTATATTTTGTAGGAGTTCGAGACACAATCTGATCCATTCCAGATAGGTAACTTTGTGATGCATGTTCACCTGTCGACTTGTTCGTCTCAATTGACTTGAATTTAGTAATGCATTGCAATGATATGCTGTGTGCTATTGTCACGTTGTTATCAATTACTTCTCCTATGTCGACATTGCCAGTAAAATATAATTGTTTTGGATGGTGCACGTAAGTAGTTTCGTTTTGTGTGGTGTGTGCGAGTGCATGTGGTGTCCTTAGGAATGGTCCCATGCGTTCTATGTGCGCTGGAGTACTGCCAGTTATGTGCCAGGTCACTGCCCAAAGGCATGGCTTGGTGCATATTTGGCAGTGCACCAGCGTACGTAGTACGCCTGGGGTCATTCCTAATGGGCATGGGTACGCCGTACCCGGGCATTATCGTCTGATAATGCCCTGGTACGGTGGTGCTCTGATTGGCCAAATGCTAGCAACGACCTGACAACAGGCACGTGACATGTATGAAGCCCCATTCACCCTACTACGTCCCATTCACCCTACTACGTCCCATTCACCCTACTACGTCCCATTCACCCTACTACGTCCCATTCACCCTACTACGTCCCATTCACCCTACTACATCCCATTCACCCTACTACGTCCCATTCACCCTTGTACCACCCACCCAAGTCCCTTCCACCCAAGTCCCATCCACCCTAGTCCCCTCCACCCAAGTCCCCTCCACCCAAGTCCCATCCACCCAAGTCCCTTTCACCCAAGTCCCATCCACCCTAGTATCATCCACTTTAGTCCCAACCACCCAAGTCCCATCCACCCAAGACTGAAGTCCCATCCGCCCAAGACTGAAGTCCCATCCACCCAAGTCCCATCCACCCAAGACTGAAGTCCCATCCACCCAAGTCCCTTCCACCCAAGTCCTATCCAGCCAAGTCCCACCCACCCAAGTCCCATCCACCCAAGTCCCTTCTACCCAAATCCCTTCCACCCAAGTCCCATCCAGCCAAGTCCCTTTCACCTAAGTCCCATCCACCCATGTCCCATCCATCCTAGTCCCCAACAATCCTAGTCCCATCCACCCAAGTCCCGTTCATCCAAGTCCCTTTCACTAAGTCCCATCCATGCTAGTTCCATCCCACCAAGTCCCTTCCACCTAACTCCCATCCACCCTAGTCCCATCCACCCAAGTTCCATCCACCCAAGTCCCTTCCACCCAAGTCCCTTCCACCCAAGTCCCTTCCACCCAAGTCCCTTCCACCCAAGTCCCTTCAACCCAAGCCCGATCAACCCTAGTCTCATTCACCCTAGGCCTATCAGCCCTAGTCACATTCACCCCAAACCGACCGATCATAAAGTCCAATTCACCTCAAACTGGGATACCGCCAACATGGTCCTATTGAAGATTAGAAAATCTATAGGTATAACACATAGAGAAAAGTTGACTTACCATGGAGTGAAAACCTTGCGGAGTTTGCTTCAAATCCCACGGGAAGCGTTATCTTCGCGAGCATTATGCGGAGAGTTCACCTTGGCTATGTTATGGTCAAGGGAAGACTGAACGTGAGCTATTGGAGATCGCCAAATTCCAGAAGTTGCGTGGTGGAACGAAGATTACCAAGTCCGAGCTCAGTGATTTCATCAAAGATTGCTAGGGTGCTCAACTTAAAACAACCCGCGTCAATTCTGTGGAGACGGAAAAGCCGGGAAAACTGAAACGCCAGCCAACCTACACCTATTACAACAACCGTGGCTCGATGAAAACCTGACAGTGACAAGATTGCCAACGACATTTCCCAAGACCTGGTATTGCGAATTCAAATTAAAAAAACAACAACAAGACCGGCCTCGACAACGCCATCTACAGTCTACATCATGCATAGCTACTATTCCAACTAATTATTACTTGGTGAATACTGAGACGGCTCAAACGGACACTTGGTACACCTACCCTAACCGAAATGGTCATCCACCTGTATCAAAGGAGGCGAAACCGCCTGTTTGTGGTGCGACGTTAAATAAACTTGTACAACAAGTGGAAGCATTCGCCTAAATTTGAAATTCGCGAGCAAAAGCTAAAGAATGGATTACCGAACAAGAATTCAAACGCTTTTAACAGCACTGACAACATCCGCCGACCTAACACCAAAATGGATTTTCGAATCCTTTGCTGGCCTCGTGGTTTCGACTGTGAAGACCAAGCAAATGCACCTCGTGCCGCCGATTCCGATTACTATTACCGCTGCTATTCTTCGTACGACGCATGTTTTGCAGTACCGCCTCTCAGATCAGGTGCTGAAGAACAAGGCCATGGGGATATGGCCCTGTTGTGGGTCTCCTCCTCCCACTTCAGACTCGTCTTTTTTTTATGTAGCTGGCACCATGTGTATTTGAAGCCAAATACATTTCCGGGTACTGTATTGCTGTTTACCGTATGATGTATCATTACCACCACATTCTAGTGGATTAGCAAGTCTTTGTTAGTACACACTTGACGTGTATTTCTCATTTTCATTCTTACAAATCACGCTTGTAACCTTTCAGCACCGTCACTAGGTGTTACATGACATACATGTACTTCTCCGTTTGGTTGTTTCAAAATACGTTTGTTGAGTGTTTTCTTCTCTCATCACCGAACTGTCACTTGAAGTTGAAGTAGCACTCAGTTACACTTGGATTAAGTTCGCCGGGGAGACATCTGCCTCATTACCTCGCCTTGAGTTTGTTATCTTAAAAAATAAACAAGGTACAAACCATACGGTCTCCCGCCTCCCGGCAGGGAAAACGATATTAGAGAAAGTAAACTGGAGAAAGACGTGACAGGAGAGAAAATACTCAAAATCAAATAATGAATGAATATTAAACACCAAATTATGGATGTCCGGGGATAAATGCTTGTTCAATTAGACATCGCCGGAATGGCAGTGAATTTATTAGAGTCGGCTTTGAATCTAAGGCTTCACAACAAGGTACAGCACAATCTGGTTAATGCTCACAAAAAGGAGGGACAACATGATTCCACATTGGAAAAAATATTTGGTCATGGTTGGCTTCATATCTGGTCATTGTTGCAATGATGGGTAAGCTGAGGATAATACTGAAGCTATGGCACATCATCACATTTCGGTTTCGCAGCTCACTGACGCAACTGCTGTTGTCGGTTGGGGCGCGGAAGTGGTCGAAGCAGCCGAAAGCGCTGGAACTGTGGCAGGCATGCTAGTATCCAAGAGGCCACCAGTCGGACTGTGTGCAGCAGCAGTGGCGGGGACACAGGCTGCCGGTTGTTCTGGATACATCGCTGTACAGACATCGTGTGTTGACGACGTTGGAGGAGACAGAACCGAGTGCAGCTCCGACTGCGACGTTGGACAGAACTTTCCCGGCTCGTCTATCAGGTCAGTGCTGGGGTTGGCGCCACCGACAAGAAAGTCACTCATGCCTTGAGGCTGGTAGGTCATTGATGGTAGAAACGGTGGTGGCGAGGTGTTCTGACTCATCGAAGTAGACTGCTGTGGCATGTGGTTCATGTAGGACGACCAGGAGGCATTGAAAAGCGGCGAGGTCATGCGTTGCGGGTACATTTGTGTGCTTGGTGGCGATGGGTACATGGGTGGGGGCTGCGTGGAGTTATTCAATGGAAACGCGGCCATAGAATGGCCGCTTGTGGTGTAGTTGCCGTGTGACATGCAAGCTAGGCTAGCCAGAGACTGGTAGTGTGGGTAAACAGGAGCCGTGCCGCACGAGTGCATGGGATAAGCTGCGTTGGACCTTGGCTGGTAGCTGCTGGCCAAGATAGAGGAGATTTCAAACGGACTGTCACCCACATTGACGGCACTGTCGGTGCTATTGAGTCTCGACTTTACCGTGGGCAGGGTCGAGTCGGATGGTCGGTGTATCAGCTCATCCACTTCAGAGTCCTGGCCCCGGAGCATGTGTTCGGTGAGCATGAGTTGATCCATCGGCGGCAGACTTGGCTCCTCGCCGTCCGGGGTTTCCGCCACCGGGGATGATCTGCTTCCCGATGTCCTGTGATGAGGTGCAGTCATTGCCTCGTCGTCGTCACCATCTTCCTCCTCCTCTTCTGGACACTCATCACTCTGAAATGCGCTGTCCAGAGCCGTGGGGAAATCCCCGCTTGTCACCGAGTCCCTGCCACTGTCAGAAGTGGCCAAACTCGATGTGCTGTGCAGCAAAGGAATAGGGCAGGAAATGACACAGGTAAGTGAAGGAAGAGTAGAATGTGCCTGGCTGTGCTGGGCCTTTGCTTTAGACTGTAATTTTAGTCCACATTTGCCACGGTTCTTTTTCTTTCGCTCTTTTTGACTTCTTTTTCTTGCCAGCCGTGGTTGGCTATAAAAGCCCTGTGCTGCTTAGGCACTCCGGACAGTACAGTACATGCTACCAAAGACCAAGACCAAAGCAGCGCTTTGAGGACCCTTCAGCATTCTTTTGCCAGTCATTTGACCTGGGTTATAAGGTACGGATCTCCAGGCCCACTGGATAAAGTATACCCAAGTAATTAGCTACACTGTACTACATGTGCCTGATGAAGAGACTGATAGCAATCAGAATTTGTACGTTTACATGAGGGCAATACTACCCCCCCCCCCCCCCCATTCCACTGTATGGATCCTAGCATGGGAAAGCGTGAGCCGCCGGACAATTTCTTGAATGACCAGATACTGCCAATTGGTGTCTGAATTGAAAAGGAAGGTGTTGCAGTACAGTAGAACCTGTCAAGGCGACCACCTGTCCCAGAAGACCACCTGTCCCAGAAGACCACCTGTCCCAGAAGACCACCTGTCCCAGAAGACCACTGCAACCAGGACCAAGGAATGCTATTTCCAGTCAAATGACCCTGGATAAGGAGACCAACTGGTAACAGAGACCACGTTTTGAAGGTCCCTTGAGCGGTCGTCTTAGACAGGTTTCACTGCATCAGTAAATGGAATTTTGGGGTACAAAAGTATCAAGACATTCTCAAAGCGAAGCACGCACCTTGTCTTGCGACTTGATGACTTTCCTGCACTCCTGTCTGAAGCTCGGTCTCGCTGGCGACGGTTCTTGAACCCTGCAATACGCAACCCAACAATGATTGTCGTTAAAACGGATACAAAGCAGCTACACGTACCAGAGTGATAATTTGACACGTCCCACTGTGTACTTCACAGTTTATGGTTTTGAACCATATAGAATGCAGAACCAAATTCCAGGTGCCCGCACATGTACGGAGAACTTGATAACTACACAAAGTGTCTGAGGTCCTTGCTGCAAAATAGTGCTCAGTACCCAAGTCAAGGGCAGAGGGTATTACACAAGGCAAAGCAACAGAGACCAGTATCTTTCTCGTGACTCCAAGTTCCGTGGTATTAAACACTCCGAGTTTCGTGGTTTTAAAGACGCCGAGTTTCGTGGTTTTAAACACAAAACTCCCGTGGAATCACGAGAAAGATATTGGTCTCTGTTGTTCTGCCTTGTGAACTTGATAATTATGTGTATCAAACCTGCGATATCAACTAGACAAACTCCAACCAATGTACCCTACTACGGGAGCAACGTCGTTATTGATGTACAATCATACACCACGGGCAAGGGCATTTGAAGGACGTAAACTGGTACGCTGCATTGGGAAAGTCGCACCTCAGAGCCTATTTGACCCGTTGAGAGTATAATACCATTATGATTGTAATTCAAAACTTCTTCCCGTTTTGTCACCATACTAGTTTATGGTGTGTAATGTCGGATACCGGCATGGGACAGACAGCTGTGTTCCGCATTGTAATTGCCTAGTATGACATCGATTTTATAGTACAGCATTATTTTTATTTTTATTATTCTTTATTTCCACGATGGCCCATGGCCAATAAGGAATTATGATCTGTACCTCTGGTTTCATGGATGCTGCAGCACAGGAGGACAGGTTGCTAAGCCCAGCTGCACAAGTAGTTCAACTATTCCAGTCTAGTAGTAGAATCAGACATGGGTACATGGCGGCCAGGTGGACGCCAGATGTGCCACTTGATAAACGTATTATCACCACACCACATCAGGGAAATGCACCATTACTCAACCTGTAGATCTACATCATCATAGATGTTGAGTAGATGTTGTCGGCTACATTCTACCTGGACAACATCATGGTGTACTTACTTACAACACTGCTTATTTGTGAACCCTTAGAATTTTTAGAATTCATGCTGAATCTTTTAGTTGTATGACGTACACACCTAGTCTACAGCGTAGCTAGCTTAGCTGCTAGCTGCAGCATGTCCTTGCTTGCGTGCAAGGGATGGATCTACGGACGATATGTACAAAATAATGTTCATGCCTATAGCTAGGAAACTGAGGTATACTACTGGACGGAGACTCCCTCGATTTAGGCTAAGGCCTGCGGAGATTCCATAAATACAAAATACAAATCTGGAACTGCTGCTGCCAGAGCTGATCTATTTCGCCGTGCAGTACTGATATCATAATTTTCGATATTTTTTGTGATGACCATCATTGACGCATGTCCGCGGCACAGACTCAGTGCTGGTAAATCACATTCAGCACTCCAAAGCTAGCGAAGAATTAAATTATTTACAATTATCATGGTAACCACTACTACAGTACAACCATTGGCAAGCGGCTGATCCTGTAAGAGGAACTTTCCCAAACACCTAAGACACTCGCGCTTACACAAATATTTTTTGGTGTCCGAAATTAATCGCCGTGTGTATCCACCAAATACAGTTGTAACCGGAAAACTTACAGTTCGACACTTGTGTGACCGTCAGACCTGTTTCCGCTGCTAATTTTCTTTTCTGCGCTGGCGACGGATAGCGGTTGCTCTTGTAGTAATCCTTCAGACGGTTCCGTGACTTATCTTTGAAGCAGTAGCTCGTCTCCTCACCGTCCCAGATCGTCCTCGGCAGGGGGTACTTTCGCCTGATGCGGTACTTGCCCACCGCCCCAAGGGCGCGGCCTCGAACCCGTTCCGCCTCCCTGTAGTGGGCCTGCAGCCAGAGCTGCTGCATCTTTTGATGGGAAGAAGGTGAGAATTGGTAAGACTTGAGGATGTGGTAGAGCTGTTGATAATTGTTCCGGTGGAAAGCCAGAATGGCGCGCGCCTTGAGCACGCTTTCATGGCGCTGCACTTCATCATGGAGAGGCAAGGACCAGAGAAAACGCTCAAGACGTTCGATCTGGCCGTTCTGCTGAAGGACTTCGCAGACGCATGCTACCTGGTCAAGGCTGAACGTGTACGTTGTCGGAAGAAGAGGGTTGTTGAGAGAGTGATTCTGCTGCTGCTGAACACTTTGCGCCGCCTGCAGGGAGGCTGCTTGGGCGGCTTGGTGAGCAAGATAGTTCGGTTCAGTTGACTCGACGGGAGGTAGGTAAGTGCCTGCAGACTGTGAACTGGCGTTGCTGCTCATGGGGAGTGGCATCGGATTTGCTGCTTCATATGCGGCAATGCGCTCCGCTTCCAAGGCGGCGTGGAGCGCCGGAGAAGCGCCAAAGTACTCGACGTTTGAGGCAGAGCTTGAAGAAAGACGCTGATCACGGACTGCCGACGGGCTAGTGAAGTTGGCCGTCTTCATGTTGCTTGATCAGGACTAGCGGCGAAACGTGATGTCTCCTCTCAATCAGCTTAGTTTACCTAGGCTTGACCAGTCGTCAGTTGTCAGAGCAGGATAGGGTTAGGTCGATCAGACCTGCAGGCCGAACAACGACTTCAAATGTATGTAGAGATCAGTTGTCCGAACAAACAACGAAATATTGCCTCTCCTCTACAAGACATGAAGAAGCCAACTGATCCCTTCTTGGGTTTGCCAGCGTCTTTTCACCCCTCCATACTGCATACTGAGCCTCCTCGTCCCTGGCACTGCCCTGTCGTCGTATTCCAGGTGGTCACGTGTGCCGATTCTGGACTGCTGTACTGCGATGTGCGCGTACTGGGTACAGGGTGCAACAGAAGAGTGATATGAGGGTATTCGCTGGAACCGCAGACTGTCCGAGCTCCGGCTGACTTCACCGCACGATTCTGCAGCGAATGGCTGGAGGGCTGGCTGTCAGAGGCTGATCATCGTTCGACCTGCCAACGTCACACTGCGTCAGGATACGCGTATGGTCTTGGACAGCTGTGGTGTATGACTATTAGGTTCGCAATGAAGTGAGTGTACTGCCAGTATTCGGTTTCACTTGCCCTACAAAAAATCCTTTCCAGGAGTAGACATTGGAAGTATTCCGGCTACTGGGAGAAGGAAGTTTTGATTGGCAAGTATACACCATGTCCTGCCTGATGCACTCAACTGCCGAACTGGCTAAGTTTAGAGAGGTTTGGAACTGTTTATGTGTGAGTGTGATGTGACCAAACCAACCTGACGCACTTTGCTCGTGAAAGCACGTAGGGACAGAGCCTGGACGCGAGCGTAGTGACTACAATGTAGTGTTCCCCTCGGGGAAATAAAATCTTCATTTATCATGGCAGTACAGTCTGTAACGTTTTTTAGGCCTTCTGCCCAGTTCTGAAGTAGCAGGTACTTCTTCATGATTTCAGCTCTAGTCTTTCGCTTCGGCCACGAATACGACGTCGTGTACATTAAACTAGTCTTTCAAAGTGGTAAAGTAATCGGTCAGTACACGAGTTAGTTTGCATTGGATCTCTGTGTCCTACAACTTACTTTGACGTGTGCAGTATTACAGTACATACATACATTTTTTACTATAACAACACTGTTGTTCACTACTGAGTACGGTACTTGCTATGAGGGAATGGAAAAGGGAAAAGTAACGTAGTGACAGTTTTCTTCAAACTTACAACAAACTTAGTTTGAAGAAAACTGTCACTACGGTACACCATGACTGTGTTGTGTTATTGTTGTTGGCGCATGGCGTTAGATTCTTATTAGCATTACGCACAGTACAGTGTGCACGTACATAATGATGTGGCCGTGGTGATATGCATGCTGTGTTCAGCAGTTGAACGTGCGCCATCAGTTGGCCGTTCTATGGGTGGACCTGCCATAATTGTTGTACATGTATGTCGTCTGCATGGCGTGTGCGCAAGATCGTTACAAATACAATCATGCTCAACAAGGGCTACTGACTGTAGTCTGTAGCCTAGTGTAGGAGGCGCTCCGTGCACCTGCATCGCGTTTTCGCAGCTGACTACTACTCCGAGTACTCGTACTGCTACAACTAACTAGTAATAGAGTTTGCCCAGGGTTGACAGTGCATATGCGTGCGCGTTACGTACCAGTGATCTGTGCTACCCACTGCAGCGTGCAGGTACTCTGTGACAAGACTGTATGATGGGTTTCCCCTCGGGTCTTCGCGCCGTTCGCGGGTGCGGGGAGCATGCGCAAAGGCGTTGCTTTTTTACGCCCGGTTGCGTGTCGTGCGGAGAAGACAAAGGTGTTTGATAGGTGGACGAGTGTTGGCCATTGATGCAGTGAGCTGACGGACTGACTAGCTAACTAAACGCTGATCCGCTCCGGCTACGAGTACTGACAGCGTGGAAAGACGCCACACACGTCCTTCGGCTCCTTCCAATGGACCAGAAGAAGCGTACGTGCACATCCGTGAGCTCTCGGGGCACAGAGAAAACCAGTTTGCTGGCTCCAGCAACTCACAGGAAGAACAAAGGAGTTGATAAGATCACCGGGCATCTCCCCCTACAACAAAAGAAAACGTTCCTCCTTCGTTGTGAGATGACTAGCTACAGCGGTGGCGTCTTATTCAATTCCTGCTCTTGACCATTGCTAGGTGTTTCAGCTACATACACAGGACAAAAGGCCACCATGTCAACGTAATGTAGTGTTAGTACTTCATTCAGTGAACGAACATGGAGGGTCAGTAGTGAGTGTATGCTGGATTTCAGAAGGACTCCGGAGATGGTATCAATAGTATAGGAGGTGACGGAGCGTACTGTGCTACTCTCTGTGGGCTCAATGCTTCGACTCTCTGTGGGCTCAATGCTTCGACTCTCTGTGGGCTAAATGCTTCGACTCTCTGTGGGCTATTTACCATTAGTGGCATTACTTAAAAAAAAGTGTTGGTCTGATGTGCAAGAGTACCACCAGTGACCAGGCGCTAGGCTGAGGCTTCCTGTGATACCACACTCTGATTGTATTGTTACAATAGTTCCCCATGAGTGCAGCACCTACATGTATAGCACTGAGTGTTATCCATTTCTCCCGATAGTCTCACTGAAATGCTTCTTCTTTCACCCTCCCTCTTCCATTTTTAATATCCACACTTCTCTTCCCGCGGAATATAGTAATGCTCTGAAACCAGAAACAGGTGACCTGTAGTAACCACAGTGGTATTCACGTTTTGTTACAAAAACTACTTCAAACGTCCTTTGCCACAAGTCACGCGGCATATGTCTGCATGATTCCCGGCATGTATCGGTCTTACCAAGAGTACATAACTTATGTACTCTTGGTCTTACCAAGACTCCAAGAGTACAATAACCCCTGCCTGGGGGTACCCAGAGTCCACTCAGTTTTTAATTTTTTTTAATTTTGTGTACGACTGTACACTCAGTACAGTGCTGTAGTACTACTAGTACTACTAGCCTGTTGATGGGAATTACCCGTATTGCGTGACCGATCCTTTCATTGTTCTAATCTTTCCTTTTCCTTTTGGGCTTTGAATAAAACAAGTAACTAGCCTCTTACTTGTATGAGACTAGAGCTGAAAAATATACTTGAAGTACTCCATCGTTCCATTATGGATTTCCATAGCACACTTCCTTTTCAACACCCTCAACTGATGATATACAAGTAGATCTACACTGCACATGGGACCGGGGCTCTGCCAACGTGCAACCGCGGAAGGTTGTAGTAAGCTCACTGTTTCCGAACACAGTGTCCTCCACCTAAGTCCTTGTTTCATACTGTCAATCTAACAATTATGAATTTATGATTGTACTTGTACCAAGAGTTATGTACTCTTGCTTGTACGTATACTAGTACTGTATGTAATGCCGAAGAGTACTACTACATGTAGTACTCTGTTGTTTCCCTCGGAAAATGGCGAGTACATCGTCGCCCCACTGTACGTACGTGCACAGGCGGCGAACACTTCCATTTTTGAGTATAAGCAATGCTGTTATGTTTGGATGACTCAGGTTCGTGTACACATAGCTACCATGTTTACAGGACACCCTACACTCTGGGCGAACAAGACAGAAGAATGTTTTCAAGAGAAGAAGACGCCCCGATCAGACTGCCAGAATGGCTAGATGCAGGCTTGTTCTGGACATAGTTGCTCGCTTATCACATTCCTGGCTGCTTTTCCGATGACTTTTCCGATGTCTTGTTCGTGCCACTACTGGCACTAGCTGGACTTTGTCTGTAGTTTCCATTCCAAACACAACGGCTGTGTTGCCTTCACTACGATTCAGTACGAAGGCATACTAGAATATGTCTGTGTAACCGTTTAGCTGGTTTATTGTTTGGGTGGTGTATAATGACCGGGCACTGCTGCTTGTCATGTATGTGAGAGAGAGAGAGAGAGATAAGAGGAGAGAGAGAGAGAGAAATAGAGACGGAGATACTAGTACTGCATCTAGAGCTAAGAAGGTAGCTTCGCTGCTTTCGTAGACTGTGTTTATGAATCCTGTTCAATACCAGGTTCTCCTGGCATTTTTATCCCATCCAGATGTCTGTTCCGTTCACCGGCGAATGACCCCGCCGGCTGAGTGCCAGGCCAAAGTCATCTTGGTGTTGGCCAGTAGTGCATGTACACAGCGTCATCAAGACTTAGAGAATACTAGTACATGTACTAGTACTAGTAGTCATACTAGATCCTCCCAAGACAAGACTCTCATTCGCATGGACAGGTCGCGAAAACAACAGGGTGGAGGCCAAAATAAAAGCCGTGTTCTAAAACGCGCGCTTTTAAAACACTGTACTCGTCCAGCGTCAGCACGATGAGCTAGCTGCGCCGGACTACGACTGCGCCGGACTACGACAGCACGATGAGCTAGCTGCAAGCGTTTCCTTCCACATGTGGCATTTCGAACTAATTACAGTACTACGAACAAATAAATTACTTCGTACGAAGTATACTCAGGTTGGGACGTGTCTTTTTGGCGGTATACTAGCTCACGCTTCCTGCCTGACCTGACACTTGACTTGAGTCTTGACAGACTGGCAAGGTCACACCATGTACCAGTCAACTGCCAAGTTAGTGCCATCCTATCCGTAGCACCCTTTCGTGACTATGTCGAGTGCACTACGAGTAGTGTGAGTTTAAAATACTAGTACTAGTAGTAGTCGATTGTCGAGACGTTTGCTTGCAATCATTTTGTGTTCTATTGTTGCGGTTTCTTCCTCTCTCTCTATCTCTCTCTGTCTCTGTCCTCTGTCTCTCTCTCTCTGTCTCTGTGTCTGTCTCTGTCTCTGTCTCTGTCTCTGTCTCTGTCTCTGTCTCTCTCTGTCTGTCTCTCTCTCTCTCTCTCTCTCTCTCTCTCTCTCTCTCTCTCCTCCTCTCTCTCTCTCTCTCTCTCTCTCTCTCTCTCTCTCTCTCTCTCTCTCTCTCTCTCTCTCTCTCTCTCTCTCTCTCTCTCTCTCTCTCTCTCTCTCTCTCTCTCTCTCTCTCTCTCTCTCTCTCTCTTTCTCTCTCTCTCTGTCTCTCTCTCTCTCTCTCTCTCTCTCTCTCTCTCTCTCTCCTCTCTCTCTCTCTCTCTCTCTCTCTCTCTCTCTCTCTCTCTCTCTTTCTCTCTCTCTCTCTCTCTCTCTCTCTCTCTCTCTCTCTCTCTCTTCTCTCTCTCTCTCTCTCTCTCTCTCTCTCTCTCTCTCTCTCTCTCTCT